CTTGCAGCATGTGCTGTTCCCTAAGACATCTCAAGGTCGTGCAGGGCCTGCGTGCTTTTCTCTCGCATTCTGCTCCACTATAGCCAACTCTCTCTTCTTCGATCGTCGCCCTCACCCGGCGGACTCCGCACTGAGACATAACCACTTAGACGTCGGCTATCCGTCTCGCCGCTCGCTCTAACCCTTCTCCGCTCTTCGCCGTCACGCTTCGCTGTCCATCTCTCTACTATCCTTATGTCATTTTTCGTCACACTCACACTCTCTCGTGCCTCTACTATCAGCAAAATCTTTTGCGCTCTCGTCCCGCTGCGTGTCCTCTCCTCTCGTACTCATCTCCTACTCTCGACTTCGTCTTTGTCTTACTTCTTTTTGTATGCTTCCCGCACACACACACACACACACACACACACACACACACACACACACACACACACACACACACACACACACACACACACACACACACACACACACAGACACACACACACACACACGCGTGCACAACACACCACCAGCGCGGGTTCGCCACCACCATCTCTTTGGCTGTCGCCTTGTCGCACCATGGTTGGCAATTTTCAAGTACAAACACGAAAATGGCCCACAATGGGACAACACAAAAGCTGACCAACGCCGTTGCGTGTCGTTGACGAATTGAGTAGTATTTTCGTTTATGTCTTCCACCATAAATCCGCGGAAACGGAAACAACGCCAGCCAACAGGCAGTTTTTTCGGGTGTGCGTGCAAGCAAGCAAGCAAACCCAGCCACAGAGCCGCAGTCGGGCACTGGCCATCCATTCAAGCAAGCCACGCTCTCCGCTTCGCGTTTGTCGGTTAACAAGCAAGCAAGCGAGCGAGTGAGGGTGTGCGTGTGTGTGTGTGTGTGTTTGCAGCTTCCTCTCCCCCTCTCCGTCTGTTTGATCCCCATCCGCACCCGCACAAGCGCAAAGCACTGCTTCTCCTTAGCTCCCTTTGTGTCATCATCTTGAAAGCGCGCAACTCAACACAGCCGCAGCAACACCCGTTGCTCCACCAGCCACGAGATACTCAACCCTCCTTCTTCCCCAACAACCACCCCTCTTCCTTGGACACACCGTGCTTCAACTGCCAACGTTGAGCCGAGGTTGGTGTGCTCGTGTATGGACGTGCGTGTATGGACGTGCGTGTATCTATGGACGTGCGTGTATGGACGTGTGCGTCAATGTGTACAGGTCCACAGATGTGCGCTTGCTTGTGGCATGACAAAAGGCAACCAGAAAGAGGGAGAGGGAGCATGTCACCATGATGTCTGCCTCCCGCCGCCACCACCACCACCACCACATCAACGTCCTCCTCACAGTCACATGGCGTGCGTTGCTCTCACGTACTCTCTCTCTCTCTCTCTTTCACACACACACACACACACACACACACACTCACACACGCACTCTCACACGCACACACACACACGTTGACATTCTCTCGACCACACCACAGCTGTGTCGCCCAGGCCATCGCCAACAGCTTGCAGGCACCACACCTCCCTCCCTACATCCCCCTTCCCCACACACACACAGGCCAGCCCAATGGACCATGCGTGGGGAGCTGCAATGAGACACCCACATCAACAACAAGCGCACCCACAAGCGATGCAGCAACACAGATGGCGGAGGCGTCGTCACAGGCCTCAGCTGCCTTGCAGCTCGCGCCTCGCTGACCGCGCTTCTTCAACCTGCACAAGCTGGCGGTTGCCCACATCGCTGCTGTTGTCATTGGTGTTCGTCGTGGTTGTGCTCCTTGCTTCAAGTATAACAGCATCAGCAACACCAACAGCAGCAGTAGCAGCACAGCAACAGCAACAGCAACAGCAACAGCAGCAGCAACCGCTCATGCTGGACGATGTAGATTTGCATGTGCTGCAGCCATTGCAGCTGCATGTTGGCCGCGGTCTGCTGTGCGGACTCGCAGGCAACAAACCCCTGCCTTCTTGGATATCCTGCGATCCGGAATCAGGCAACTTGTATGCGTTGCCGCCACAACACGCCGTCGGCCAGTACTTTGTCAACGTGACACAGCCCCGCGACGACTCAGATACCAGCATGAGCAGCAGCAGCAGCCAGCCCCAGCAAGACGTGTTTGGATTGCAGGTCTTGCCAGAGCCGCAGCCGGCACAGTGCGCCGTCTTCACCGTGCGTGCCACCGTTGACAAGCCTTGGCGGTTCTTTGACACGGGAAGCAAGGTCGCCTTTGCTTCCCACCTCATCGACATTGCCACGGCTGTTGCGCCCTCTGCTTGGTTCACCGTCACCAACACTGCGCCAGGCCTGCAGCGCTCCTTTTCCCCAAGTCAGTGTGCATGTGTGTGTGTGTGTGTGCATGCGCGCAAGTGTGTTTGTGTGTATACATGCGCCATAAGAAAGTGGATGCGTCCATGACCTGCTTTGCGCACCATGCTGCGCAGTTGTTTATAAAACGGCCTTTGAGTCAAGCCGGGCTCACCGCCACCACCGCCGCGACTACTGCTGCCGCCGCCGTATCTCTCTCTCTCTCTCTCTCTCTCTCTCTCTCTCTGTGTGTCTCTCTCTCTCTGTCTCTCTCTCTCTCTCTCTCCCCGCCCCCCTCTCTTGCACCGTCTCACCTTGTCGCTTTCCTTCCTTCATTCCATCACTTCGTTTTGTTGCAGTGTATTGGATGGGCCAATCGCCCAACAATGCGGCCGTGGACGTGAGCCATTCCACAACCATCGTGGACCTCGCCTTGCCCTGTGGCATGGGCGCAACTGTGCCGCAGGCGCAGGCCATCCTCGACGCACTCACCCGCGCGCACCATAACCTTGACTTGTTCCAGGTGCGATGTGCACCAAGCAAGCTGCCCCGCTGTGTTGCCTGCAAGATGCAGCCTACTTTTTCCTGCCCTGTGCGCTTCCTTTTGCTTGCACGCACACACACACACACACACACTTACACACACATACACACACACACACACACACACACCACCCGCGTCTCATGATTTACACACTTGCATGTCATCCTGTCTCCCTCCAACTCTCGATAGGGCTTGAGGTACGACATCATCTCGCTTGTGAGCACGGATGTGCAGCTGCTGCGCCACAAACCAGAGCACAGGGCAGGTGACGCAACACCCACACCCACACCGCAGCTGCAGCCAGACCTGCGCGTGCCAACCACTGGCGCTCGCCTCCCCCTCAAAGCAGCCCCCATCTCGTCCTCTGCCACCAAGCAACGGCCCCACCAACAAGGCCCTGCCTCATCGTCTGCGGTGTTGGAGCGCACGCTGTTGGAGGATGCCCTCTTGCAGCGTGCGAGGCGTGCAGACTCAATTGACCTGTCCACGCTGGGCGAAGTCGATGTCGTCTTCATCATCGATGGTTCGGGCAGCATGGGCTTTGACAACTTTCAGCGCGCCCTCGAGCTGGCAGCAAACATGGTCGAGGCGCTTCCGATTGGCCCAGACAACTTCATGTACGGTTGTTGAAGACACCTGTTCCATGCTTCGTTTATCGCTAAATCCATGTAACTCCACAACCTTTGCATGCATGCACTGGTTTGGTCCACACTCACATCTGCACAAACAAACAAACACACACACACACACACACACACACACACACACACACACACACACACACACACACACACGACGACGACGACGACGACGACGACGACGACGACGACGACGACGACGACGT